AAAAATTTTACATAGTTGTAAATCTTAGTCTTTGTCCAACTTTTTATAGTATTTTTTTAAATTAAATATTTACGTTTTGGTGTCTTTCGGAATACAAACTCAAACGGAATAAAATGTCTGTAAAACGAGTTTTGGATAAGTAAACTCTAATAATTTTTTTTTTCGTTCTCAAACTAAACGTTTTTTTAAGAATAAAATTTTTGCAAATTTTTCTTTAAGTTCAATTTTTGAATTTTTTTAGATGAGAATGTACCTACTATAAAAAATTTTGGACAAAAATAGAATTTTATTTAGATAGTTGTAATTCTTAAATCATAGTCTTTGTCAATTTTTTTTTAGTAAATTGCAATTTAACAATTAACAATTTCAAAAAAGCAAAGCAATTTTTAAGTATAAAAACAAAAATAATTAGTGTACAAATCCGTTTTATCAACGACTTTACTGATTTCTTGAAAACAAACAAGAAAATCGCTAAATTAGACCCCCGTTCCAATAACGTTTCTTTCACAAAATTAATTAAAATTAAAAAAATTACGTTTTGGATGAGTAAAACTATTGAAATAGATTGTTTTAACCTTAAAACTGAACATTTTTAAGAATAAAATTCGTGAAAAACTTTCTTAATTTTCGATTTTTGTATGTTTTTTTAATAACAATCTATACTATAAAAATTTTACATAGTTGTAAATCTTAGTCTTTGTCCAACTTTTTTGTAAAATTAGAACGTTTACTGTTTTTTTCTAATTCTAATATCTAATAAAGAGTCACTTGAGAACATCGTGCTACTCTTAGTTGAATAGTTTAGAGGATTGCGAAGTTTTGTAGCAAAAAGTTAATCAATAATTTGTGCCGGTATTAGGGACTTGAACCATATGCTCGGATTTTTCCCTTGTTCAAAGAATCTCTTAATTAATTTTCGGTGAAAAAATTTTACCAACGCACTGAATTTCAAGCGTTTTTCTCATTTCAAAGAGAGATTTTGAATATTTGAAAATGAAAATTAAAAAATTTGCTAAATTAGATGAAGTGTGTTTTTCATCGGAAACTAAGAAATTTGAGAAATTTTGCCCTAAACAAGATTGAAAATTGCAAAATTAGAGCTGGAAATGAGTTTAAAACGTTTTATTGTTTCTATAACAAGACAGAAATTGCACAATTAGTTCTCTAATGCAAAAAAATCGTTATTTTTTATGAATTTAGAGTTTTTTCAAATTGCTAAAATTGTTATGACCTAACAAAGCAGAAAATGGCAAAATTACAAAATTTAGATTAAGAAGCTAGAAAATTTCGAAATTTGGTCTAAATTTGTTTGAGAAACTTACAAAATTCTCAATATTTTARCAAAAATGGAAAATTTATCTTGTTTTTTAATGATTCTACAGTGATTCTCATCGAAAACTTATTATTACTGAATCACTGAATAAATTTTGTCATTGTTTATAAATTCGTGGAAATCCTTC